AAAAAAAAATTTAGTGGCTAAAAAAAAAGCAAGAAAAAAAAGTTCGGTCAAAAAATAAAGGAAGAAAAAATTAGGCGACGCTCCAAAATTTTGAGAAATCAATAAGTTGCTGCTAACAAAATCTGATAGAGAAGAAACTCACATTTAGCTTCATTGTAGCCTTCAACTGGTTAATCAATAGAGGGACAGTGGCCCCACGAATCAATACAGTGGTCAGGGCAATTGAAGCCCACCTGTCCGTGCACATATAGAATGATAGCAAATAACAAATTTTAGCGGGGAAAAGAAGAACAAAGTTTCAACCCAGTAACATGAAAACCAACAAATAAAAGCATGAAACCTAACCAATTTAAGCCGGTAAAAGAATGCACGGCATCAATCAGATGCTGCAGTGCCGCAACAGGAAGAAACGAATCCGCCGCAGCAGCTGCCACTTCGCCGGGGAATGGAGCTGGAACCGAAGATGTCGCAGCGACGATGCCAGTATCCACTCCAGCGTCCGTCAGAACGTCTGCTACATCTTTTATATAACTGACCTCATTCGATCCCTCGGCATCAGACGAAAAATTTCGGGAAGATTGATGTATTCCAAACGGAAGGGCGAACCCAATCCTTCTCCAATCTCGATCCGCTGATCTGAAGCTGAAGGATGGTCTAGAGTAAGAGGAAGCTCGTTGTATCAAAGGACTCGACGAATGCTGCAAGGGTTGAGGGGATCCAGAAAGGTCACGGTCATCCTTGACAATGTGGAGAAAAGAGGGGTGGAATCTCCTGGAGAGATAATTGTAACCAGAGGTCAGAGCCTTCCGGCTGCAAGCCATCTACAAAGAGAATGGAAGAAGATGCTGAATAGTTCAGGAAACTATGAAACGAGCCGCAATTCAAAGGATTGGGGCGGGTTTTAATCAGAAAACTAAGGTTTCTTCACGATCCTGCCGTCCAAGGATGATGATCGGAGCGGGGAGACCGGAGGTTTAGGGTTTTCGGCCGTGGGCTCAAGCCGACCTCCGCCACTACGAAATGCAGGATTTTATTTTATTTTTTAATAATAGTAGCAATTTATTACATTCTATTATAACAACTTTTAACATTTTGAATTTAAAGCCTTTGCATATATCTTAACAAATACATATATACCTG